GAACAGGTTGTTGTTCTGACCTGGTCAAGCATGTCATTTCCCATACCTGGTGGCATTCACATACTAGCACCTGTGATTATCCCCTCCCTTACCCTACATAATTCTTTGGTGCCTGCCAAGTGGCACAGGGATATGTTTCATCTTGCTGCCACCCAAGATATGCCTCATATGTATGTTTTCCTTAATAAACTCTATTAATTACAACAATGAAGTGGCCAACCTATTTCTTTGGTCTTTCCCTGCCCTCTGCTTACAAGAGGTAGATTTTCAGTCTCAGGACTTTTCCTTGGATCAGTGTGTACTAATATTTATGTAATAAATCCTTTCTATCCCTGAGGTCATCTCCTATTTTCTTCTGAAACTTAAAAAATTGTCTTTCTCATTTTAATCCTTAATTTATCTGAAATTCTTAATTTTGGTATAATATGAGAAAGGGATCTAATTTCCTTTTTTTCTGTATGGATCACCAATTATCTAAGCTCCATTTATTGAAAAGTCTACTTTCTTCTTTGATTTGCAGAGCAAAGAACAAGTTTCCATATGTCTGTTCCTGAATTCTTGATTTCGTTCCATTGGTTTATTAGTCATACTATGTTGATAACCACCATGTCTTAACGACTACAGCTTTATAAGTTTTAATATCTGATAAAGTATCAACTAGCTAGTAGTCACTAGCACTGCTTACTAAATATTTCTGGTTTATTCTTCTCTCAAGGATTATAAAAGAATCACACTTTCTGGCTCCTTTGTGATTCACTGGAGCCACATGATTAGCTCTGATCAACGAGTTGTGAGCTGAGAAGTGACATCATGAGCAAAACTGCCTATGCAAAACCCTCCAGAGCTCTTTTTTCTCTTTGGCTTAGCAACTAGTACAATAATATTCACCTTGGTTGTAATTTTGGCACCTGAGTTCCTGAGTGACTATAATCTGTAGGATTTTCCTACTAACCTGCAGTGAACAAGTAAGGTGAATGAAAAAATAAATTTTGCATGTTTATCACTGAGATTTTAGTTTGTTACCACAACATAACTTAGCCTACTCTGATATACAAGGAAAGTTATTATTCATAACTATCCAATTTGTCATTATTCTTTAAGAGTGTCCTATCTATTCTTCACTGTTTGTCATATGAATTTCAAAATTGAGTTTTCTCAACTTTCAGGAAAAACCTGCTGGTTGGACTGTACACTATCTAAAAAATTGAAGATATACATAACCCATGATCTAATAATCCCATTCCCAGGCATGTATGCAAAAGAAATGTATACACATTTGTAGATGTGTACAAGAATGTTCTTGGCAATGTTGTTTACAAAAAATCAAAAACTGGAAATAATGCAAATGACAACCAGCAGTAGAATGAATAAACATTTATTTTATACAATGAAATATGATATTAATAATGAAGATGAACAAACTCAACCTGCACACAACACGATCTTACAAACATTGCTAACACTGACGTATGCACATAAATTTATAAAGCATGGTTCCATTTACAATAAACTTTCAAAAACAAGTAATTTTTAAATTAGATTATTTAAGAATGGACATAGGTATTACAACTAACAATTAAAACTAGGAAGTGATTACCACAAACATTAGGGAAGTAGTTATCCCTGGGAAAAAGAATAAGGTAACTGAGAAAGAAGGGATGGTGAGTATCTATGGTACTGACAATATTCTATTATTTTTTAATTCTCACTTGAGGACATGCTTATTGATTTTAGAGAGGGGAGGAAGGGAGGGAGAAAGAGAGGAGGAAAAATATCGATGTGAGAGAGAAACAGCAATCGGTTGCCTCTTGTAAGTACCCCAATGGAGACCAAACGCACAACCTAAGTGTGTGCCCTGACAAGGAATTGAATCCACAACCTTTCAGTTTACAGGATGATGCTCCAACCAACAGAGCCACACTGGCCAGAGTGACAATATTCTACTGTGACCTAAATAGTTGTTCAAAAGATGTTCACTTTATTATTATTATTATTATTATTATTATTATTATTATTATTGTTACTGTTATACTGGATCTCTGTTGGGGTTTTACGTCATATATCTTTTTTGTTAGATTTATTCATATCTATTTTATATCATTTATTGGTATTATAAAAGTTCTTTTTAAATTGCATTTTCTGTTTGTTGCCAGTATATAGAAATGCAATTGAATCTTGATCTTATAAGCAACAACCTGCTAAATTCTCTTACTGATTCTAATGATTTATCAGTAGATTCTCTGAGGGTTTTTATTAAGATTTTAGAGAGAGAGGAAGGGAGGCAGAAAGAAAGGGAAAGAAACATCGATGTGCATGATACATGGATTGGCTGCCTCCCACACTCCCCCAACCAGGGACTGGCCTGCAACCCAAGCGGGGGGCCCTGACTGGGAATAGAGCCAGCAACCCCTCAGTTCACAGGTCAGCACTCTACCCACCGAGCTACACAAGCCAGGGCTAGATATTTTTAAGTAGCAAATCATACCATCTGCAAATAATGACAATATTCTTTCTAATATTTATCTTTGCTTTATTTTTCTTGTTTTATCATACTGAGTGGAACCTAGTTTAATGATAGATTATATTATTTTTATGTTCTATAAAAATATTTTTAAAGTAGGGAATAAAAGATACATCTATAGGAGGGCCCAGGTACTGATGGTCCATCCCAGGGTTATTCCTCCATACACTCATCATCCCTTCTGTTTGCTCAGGAAATGAATCCCTCTTGTTTGCATAAAGGACTATCTCTTAGAAACTATGGCTATTCTAACAATTAAAATTTCTCGGTTGCAGATGACAGCTAGTGGAGGGGGTTAGAGGGTAAAGGGACTGAGCAAAAGGGAAAAAGAACTCATGGTCATCGACAAAGAGTGGGGTAATTGCTGGGTGAGGAAGTATAAGGGTATTAAATGGTAATGGAAAAAAAATACAATAAAGATTAAATTAAAAATAAATAAAATTTCTCAGTTATTAGAACCAAGCTCAGCTCATCCATACTGCCAAATTAATTCTTCTGCATTATAAATCTATTAAAAAATTTTAAGTACACAATAATTAAAAGAATGCAAACAATGCTATCTAAAACATTAAGTATGTGCAAACTAGAACCTAGTTATTTAACATTTATGTAACCCTGAGGGCTTGCAAAGCACTTTAGGGGGGAAAATCTAATTTTTAATGTATTCCCAATAGAACAAAAGAGACAGGGAAGGAAAAGAAATCTAGTGGATAGATAATGCAATGATATGATGAGGAACGTACCAGAATGCCAATACATCCTCAGAGTAATGAAAACCCAAAATATAGCCTCTGATCCCCTAAAATAATTTACCTATCATAAGCAACTGCTTATGTCCCTGAAATGTCTCTGAAATACACCGGATATATATCCTCAGCCCCTACACGTTGAAAACAACTTCCTTTCTTTCCTTGTGTACCTCAGAGGGTTTCTCATAAAGTCTGGTGGTTGGTTTTCCTCATCTCTCTGGCTTATATAATATTAACTTATATTAGCATAACAATTTGTCCCTCTGGAAAAATGAAACATAATAGGACTGTAACAGCCATTTCTCCCAACTCCCACCAGGGTCAATGAAGAGTATAGCACAGTCCTGATTAATCAAAGGTATGTCAGGGGGTCACTTATAAGTTCAAGCTATCCCTTCCTGATACAGATAAGAGTTTCTAGTTTCAGGAGATTCTTCTACCAGGGATTTCTTCAGGATTCAATTCTCTAGCAAGTATCTTGCCTTCATTTATTGGTTCTGATGCCATGAACCAGACCTCTCAATGAATTGCTGACAAGAGGACCACTATATTTCTTGTTTACCTAAAATCAGATATTTAATGTCAATGTACCTTTCAGAAAATCAAACCAAATGCTCTTTTGGATAGATTATGTCTGAATGGGCATAGTAAGAAATTTTATAATTTGTAAAAAATTGTTTTATTAAAATTTCATAGTTAAATTCCCAATTAACCAATAATTTATATTCTATATTTTTCTACAAGTTACAATGGTCAAACAAAGGGTAGGAAAAAAAGATGTTTGTGACCTAAGTGGCAAAAAGTTCAGAAGACTCAAGTTATTTCTTTTTAGATATCTATCACGAACTTAAAACTCATGCTGGTCAAAAAATTATTTTGAGTCACTTGTTGCACATAACCAACATTACTGGGAAATTCCCCTGATTTTTTTGGTCACAATTCCTACTCTAAGATGTAAAAGCAACTAAACATATAATCATCACATAAAGCATCCCTGTGACAAACCAAGAATTCAGACTTTATGAGATTGAAATATGACTCTGGAAGCTTAGAACTCAAGCAGACTCATCCAACCACAAACAATGTACTGTATATCTGGAGCAAGAAAACACAGAGAAACCACATGATAGAAAAGAGATAAAGTAATGGCACCTCAGCCCCTTATATGCCTTATTTCTTGCTTTTTTAGCAGCATACCTAAAATCTCCAAGTCAGAAATCTTTCACTTTAGGCTATTTTCTTTGTTTCTAAATGAATCCCTAGTTTCATTTTATTCAAAATTGAAAAACTTGGAGTCAGATGATGGAGTATTGGTATAAAGAATCTATTAAATGTTATAATAGGAAACATGAGAGAATGAGAAAATTGTAATACTGGCTTTTCTTAATAGGAAGAATTTGTTGATAAAATTAGCTTTAATAGATAATAGTTAATTCCAGCAAGAACACATGGGTTGTTTATGCTTTCAAAATGGAAATTTAGAATTAGCTTTTCAGTTAAATACTCAAAGTCTAATAAGTACATTTTAATAGAATCCTATCACACTTAAATAAAGCTGTATGGGCAAAAAGGTTAAAAAAAACTAATCATATTCACCCTTTGCACTAAACCACAAGCAGATAATTCAATAATAAATTCTTTAGCATTACCTTAATCAATCAAAAACCTCTTCAATATCGATCATTTGACAACCTAATAGTAATGAGAAGAAAAAAATTTGAAGTACTTACCTTAAGAGCACAAAAGATGCAGGAATCTCCCATGCATTTGTGAGTTGTAAGCTGCCTGAAACTACGCCGGAAGATGTCCAAGTGCCATAAAACCTGGCAAAAAATGGAAAATACATTACTCTATAAAAAGCCACTATTTAATTTTAAATTCAAGAGTTCAAGCAAACATAGGTAATGACTGCAGAAGATATCTTTATTTCCAAGAGAAAAGCTCATTCTAGTATATTAAATGTCCAAAAAGGTAAGGAGGTATCTAACAAGAGGGATAAACGACCATATCCTGGAAAAGACATTAATTGAACCTGAAGGAAGGTCACACAGAGAAAATATGGTGTGACATAATACCAAATGTGATCCTAAAGAAAAACATTATGGGTCAATAGCTGCAGAATATGGGTTTCTTTTAATGGTCCACCAAAAAAGCAAGAGTATTTAAAAACTTATTTAGAAGATTGAATTATAGTGTGGAATTTTGTCTTTGTTGGATTTCTCAATTTTTAGAGAGTTATAACCTCCTTAAGTCAACAAATTAAAAAAAAAAAGGTATCAACAATGATAAATCACATTCATAGTATGTAACCTTGATATGAAATGATGAAAATGGCACTTTACTTTTATGGTCTTCCTCTTAAAACTCCATAGCCCCAGTTTAATCATGAGGAAACCATCAGACAAGTTCCAATAGCGGAACATTCTATGAAATACTTGAGTAGTACTCCTCAAAATTGTCAAGATCATCAAAAACAAGGAAATTTTGAAAAGCTGTCACAGCCAAGAAGAGACTAAGGAAACAAGAAGCGTAAATGGGATCTAGGAATGGAAAAAGACACTAGGTAAACACTAAAAAAAATCTAAATAAACTATGGACTTTAGTTAAAAAAGAAATGGTATAATATATAGCATAATACCTTAGGAAACTCCTCTTGCCTGGAAAACACTTAAATGGCACCATATATGAAAAGGCACTATACTTCCGGAGCCCCAGATTATAGAACACCTCTGGAACTTCTTATTTAGTTGCCTCAAGGTATATATTCCAAAAGTTCTTTGGAATATGCTATGCCATTTCTTTTTTAACTGAAGTTCATAGTTTATTCAGATTTCTTTAGTTTTTACCTAGTGTCTTTTTCCATTCCTGGATCCCATTCAGATACTGCATTTACATTTATTTGTCTTTTTTTAAAATATTTTATTTTACTTTTATTTCTAGAGAGAAGAAAAGGGAGGGAGAAAGACAGTGAGAAAAACACTAATGTATGAGAGAAACATTGATCGGTTGCCTCTCACATACCCCCAACTGGGGATCTGGCCCAAAACCCAGGCATGTGCCTTGATAGGGAATCAAACCATGACCTTTTGGCTCACAAGCCAGTGCTCAACCCACTGAGCCACACCAGCCAGGGCCATATACTTGTCATGCTTCTTTAGGCTCCTCTTAGCTGTGACAGTTTCTCAAAATTTTCTTGTTTTTGATGTTCTTGACAATTTCGAGGAATATTAGTCAAGTATTTCATAGGCTGTCCCACTGTAGAAAATTGATGTTTTTCTCATGATTAAACTGGGGTATTGGTTTTTAACATTGTATTCAATGGGCAAAACCCAAAAGCATTCCCCTTTTTAAGATCAGGAACAAGACAGGGGTGTCCCTTTTCACCACTCTTATTCAACATAGTACTGAAGTCCTAGCCACAACAATCAGACAAGAAAAAGAAATAAAAGGCATCCAAATTGGAAAGGAAAAAATAAAACTGTCTTTATTTGCAAATGACATGATACTGTATACAGAGAACCCTACAGAGTCCACCAAAAAACTACTGGAACTGATAAATTAATTCAGTAAAATAGCAGGATAAAAAAATAAATATCCAGAAATTGGTTGCATTTTTGTATACCGGTAATGAACTATCTGAAAGGGAAACTAAGAAAACAATTCCATTTACAATTGCATAAAAAAAAAACAACAACAAAATAAAATAACCAGGAGTGAATCTAACCAAAGATGTACAAGTTCTGTACTCAGAAAATTAGAACACACTGAAGAATTGAAGAAGATAATGAATAAGTAGAAGCATATACCATGTTCATGGACAGGAAGAATTAACATCATTAAAATGTCCATACTACTCAAAGCAATCTGTAGACTAAACACAATTCCTATCAAGATACCAATGGAGTATTTCATAGAACTAGAAATATACAGAACCACAAAAGACCCCAAATAGCCACAGCAATCTTGAGAAAGAAGAGCAAAGTTGGAGGAATCACACTATCTGATACCAAATTATAATACAAGGCCATAATAATCAAACAGCATGGTCCTGGCATAAAAAGACATATAGATCAATGAAAGAGAATAGAGAGCCCAGAAATAAATTCACACCTTTATGGTCAATTAATATTCAACAACAGACGCAAGAACATAGAATGGGGTAAAGACAGTCTATTCAATAAATGATTTTGGAAAAGTTGGACAGATATGTGCAAAAAAATGAAACTAGACCACCTTATTACACAATACGTAAGAATAAACTCAAGATGGATTAAAGATTTAAATGTTAGACTCCAAACCATAAAAACCCTAGAAGAAAATATAGGCAGTAAAACCTCAGACAGTTCTTGTTGCAATATTTTTTCTGATACATCTCCTAAGGCAAGGGAAACAAAGAAAAAAAATAAACAAATAGGACTACATTAAACTAAAAATTTTTTGCACAACAAAGGAACCATCAACAAAATGAAAAGAAAACCCACTGAATGGGAGAACATATCATCAATGACACATCTTATAAGGGGATAATATCCAACATTTATGAAGAATTTATAAAACTCAACACCAAAAAGCAAACAGTTCAATTAAAAAATGAGCAAAGGACCTAAATAGACACTTCTCCAAAGAAGATATAAGGATGGCCAATGGACATATGAAAAGATGCTCAATGTCACTAATCATCAGAGAAACGCAAATTAAAACCACAATGAGATATCACCTCACACCTGTCAGAATGGCTATCATCAATAAATCAACACACAGCAAGTCTTGGCAAGGATGCAGAAAAAAGAACCCTCGTGAACTTGTTGGAGGGAATGCAGATTGGGGCAGCCATTATGGAAAGCAGTATGGAGTTACCTCAAAAAATTAAAAATGCTCCTGGCTGTTGTGTTTCAATTGGTTGAGCACTGTCCTATAAACTGGAAAGTGTGGGTTCAATACCCAGTCAGGGTACATGCCTATGTTGCAGGTTTAGTCCCAGTCAGGGCAGAGACAGAGCCAACCAATCAATGTTTCTCTCTTGCATTGATGTTTCTCTCCTTCTTTCTCCCTCCCTTCTCCTCTCTCTAAAATCAATAAGCATGTCATCAGTTGAGGATAAAAAAAAATTAAAAATGGACCTGCCTCATGACCCAGCAATACCTACTTTTGGGTATGTATCCAAAGGAACCCAAAACACTAATTCAAAAGAATATATGCAACCCTATGTTCACTGCAGCATTATTTACAATAGCCAAGATTTGAAAGCAGCCCAAGTGTCTATCAGTATATGAGTGGATAAAAAAGCTGTGGTACATTTGCAAAATGGAATACTACTCAGCCACAAAAAGGAAATATTACCCTTTGCAACAGCATGGATGGACCTGGATAGCATTATGCTAAGTGAAATAAGCTAGTCAGAGAAATACGAATACCATACAATTTCACTCATATGTGTAATCCAACGAACAAAATGCACTAACAAGCAAAATAGTGGAAGACTCATAAATAGAGGACAGGCTGACAGCTGTTGAGGGGGGTGCTGGGGGAGGTGGAGGGATTAAGCAAAAAAGAAAAAAAGGAAAAAACTCATGGACACAGACAGCAGTGTGGTGATTGCAGGGGGGAGGGAGGAAATGGAGAGAGGTGGAAGAGAGTGGAGGGTGTAGAGAGGATAAATGGTGATCGAGACATGACTTGGGGTGGAAAACACACAATATAGTGTACAGATCATGTGTAGTAGCATTGTGCACCTGAAACCTGTATAATTTTGTTAACCAGCGTCATCCCAATAAATTCAATAAAAAGGAAAATAAATAAATAATTTTTTAAAAAAAAAAGTAGAAATAAAAACACCTCTATATTGCATTAAGCTAAAAAGGAAAAAAAGAGAAAGAAAAGAAACACACTATGCTCCCAAATAAGTAACAGCTTTTTAAACAAATGTAATGGGTTTACATTACAAACATCTGTGGAAGACACAGTTTTCATACCAAAAGTTAGAATATGAGCTCATAGAAACAATTACTTTCAACTTGAAACATGATTATAGTACACACTCCAAAACTATCAATGACACAATCCTTAAGTCTGGATTTAAAAATATGTATGTGTGTGTATATAGTATGTGTTCCATATAGCACTGGAAATTAGAACAGAAACTCATAAATACTGTTTCAATTGACAATACAGATAGAAAATATAGAAAAAAACAAAGTTATAGAAATAGGACTATGGCCAGGAAGAACGTAAACACATATATCAACACATTTTTTTGCCTGCTTGTAATTACAAAAGTATTGTTAGTTTATGCAAAAATCACTCAAAAACCTACTATGCATCACCTGAAAAAAAAAACTGAACAATTGCACCCAACTGAATGAAATTTGTGGTTGTAATTAGTGAAAGTACTTCAACTTTTTCTATAGGCTTCACAGCATAGGACTTTTTAATGTTGTCAAATAAAAATTTGAACACTGAGAATACAAAATTTTAATTATATAAATAAGCTTGATTAGATTCTTGTTTTATGAATGAGAAAACTGAAATACTATTACCTATACAACGTCACAAGACTAATCTACAAAAGGTCAAAAAGTAGAATCCAGGTCTCCTAATTTCTAAATTCAAAGCTTTTTATATCAAATACTCTTGTCTTTTCTTCTCTCAGTAGCAAGTTATTTTCTCATTAAATCTGAGGTATAAAACTAATATTTAACCAAAGCATAATTATCTTAGATGGAAAATTTCATTTATTTTTATCCAAAAAGCATAAAAGAGAGGAAAGGGATTACTTGAAAGTTAGGCCAATGGGTATGAACCTACTAACACTCTGTGTGCCTGACTAGGCAGATCAGGAAGACAGATGGGAAGCTTTGGGATTCTGAGACCACTAAGGTGGCAAGCATCACCAAAAGGGAAAATCTAAAGTGCAATAGTTAATCACCTTAGGAGAATTTACTTTCCACTACCTCTGTTCAAGCATATCTGATCAGAAACCAATTACAAGCTACTGCATGTGAACTCAGAGAAAGGAGATGAAGAAGTGGACAAAGACTGGACTCTATTCAGTGTGTGTGTTAAAAGCCTGAATATCAAGCCCTGGCCAGGTAGCTCAGTTGGTTTAGAGCATCATCCCAATTTGCCAAAGTTGCAAGTTCAATCCCTGGTTAGGGCACATATAAGAATCAATCAATGAACGCATAAATAAGAGGAACAAATTGATTTTTCTCTCTCCTCCCCCGCCCTCTCTTTACCCCCTGCTCTTCCTCTCTCTCCTAAAAATAAAAAAATAAAAAAAAATTAGAGCCTGAATATTATGAGAAAAGAATAATATTATGAAACTAGAAAGTCTTTGACTTATGGAAAGAATTTTGCTTCCTATACTAGAGAAATGAAACTAGGGTGATAAGACACCGTTGGTGTCAAGAGGGGAAAAAAGGAAACATAAGAGACTGCTCAGGAAAAAAGTCAACAAACAAGTAATGAGATCATCATGTACCTCCCTTTTAGGTGGGTTTGTAGTAGTAGTCAACAGTTATTATTTCACTACCATATTAATCCTCTTTTTTTTTACCAATGAGGTAGGTAATTGAGACTCAAAGAGATAAAACTGACTTGCCTAATCTCACATAGATAAACTTAAAAATGATCTCAGGTTGCTGACCTCAAACAGAGAATGTCAAGTATTATATTTAAAAGAGTTATCAGAAATATACCACCAGCAACTAAAAGTCAAAGTTCAGCCAAAAAAAAAGAAAGAAAGAAAGAAAGAAAGAAAAAAAAAGAAAGAAAGAAAGAAAGAAGTTGCCCTTACCTGCAAGGCACTGTTGAGGAAGCAACTGTTTTGTCCTGGCTCATTGCTGAGGCCTTTGCTGGGGGCTATGGAGGTTGAGCTTCGAGGTGCAAACATCCCTTGGACACTACCACGGCCTCCTGAAAAATAGTTTCTCTTCCAAGACATTATTGTTCACATTTATCCTGGAAACACAGAGGAGGTTTTGTATCTTTTGGGGAGGGAGTTGCTGTCTGCTGAAGTCCTTAACAGAAAGAGAATCCAGAAGTCAATTAATATATGTTGAAAGATTTTTGAGTTACAACCTTCTAAACATCATATATGTAGTTCAAGGAATGCAGGTATCCTCTTAGATCCACATGACAGAGCTGTCTTCAACTTGCTCCAAACAATGCCCAAAATTTGACATGGCACAGGACTAATACAGAGATATCCTTGAGTATTATTTCCTTCTATTTTCCTTGAACTGCTTTCAAAAAATCCTGATGAAGTGGCTGTAATCCTCAACTCCAAAAAAATCCAGGATCAGGATAGGATGTATTCCTTAGACTTGTTAATAATGCTTCTTGTGGATTGAAGATTTTTCCAACTGGAAGAAGAGGCAGACAGATAAGCAAGAATCCAATGCAACCCTCCTTGCCTCTTTTTATTGCCTTGTCTCATCATTCCCTGAAGTAAAAATTCAAGTTCTAAGCAACTGACATAGATTCCATAAAGCAAAGAAGCTTGTTTGAATTATGTGGGGCATTTGCTGTTGCTGCTGCTGTTTTTTATTATGCTCCAAACATCTTTTATCATTCCACCCAGAACTTCAGAAAGTCTCTTCTCCTCTCTTCCTCTGTGACTCGAATAGCCAGCTGTACCAGAGAGCTTTAACAGAAGAAAAAAAAAATCAAAAACTTGCGTCACTTAATGACTCTCCTGGCTTTGTGCTGTTCTGCCAAGATCAACGTTGCCTCACCTCTCACTATAAACTTGAAACCTTGGCAAACAATGCCAAGAAAAAAAAAAACTAACAACAACAAAACGAGAAACTGAAGAGGGAAAAAGAAAGGTATGAGCACCTTTCCTTTCATGGGAAACTTCTCTGAAATTTTCTAGAAGGAGAAGAGAGTTGATCTAGACAAAAACAAAAACCAATACAAACTTCCCAAAATCAGGCTAACAAAAAAAATACCAAGTACATACCAAATTAGAAATTAAAACAGTTTCTTTTGGATATTTTAAGTAGAAAAAAAATTGTAAGGTATTTTACATATTCCTGGCTATGAAAGCCTACTTAAAGGTGAGAGGGCCAAGTTTTGAGCCTGAACTCTGTTCTGAGAAAAGGTATCCCATCCCAAAGAAACTAAGTAAACTATACGTCCTTAACATTAGTTCAAGAGAAGTACATCTTCTCTTGCCCTGCTTGTTTGTATATTTTTGCCTGAAGATCAGAGAGATAATTTGGGCTACAAATCATTTAATCCACAGATTATATCCGAGGCACTTATAATCAGAGGCCATCCATTGACCAACATTAATTCTCAACTAATAAAATGCCAGCAAGACAACAGAGAGACACACCAAAGCAAGCAACTTCCTTGGAAGGTAATGCTTCTAATCTCCAGCTTCGAATTTTCCTATAAGGCTGCCACTTCCTCATAAGGAAAAAATTAGGGATGTCAAATTTGGTTTCTAACAGTTCCCCAAACTTCTCCCTTCCATCCCACCGTCACGCAGACCACCTAAAAAAGCAAAAATGCTGTAACATCTTAATCATTCTCTGGGATATCACCTAGCATTTCCACAGTGTGTCCATTGGAAAAATTGAGGCATAGGAACATTAAATGGTTGCATAAGACTGTTCTGTCTCTTCTCTAAATTCCCAGACTATTTATAATTTACAAGTCACAATTATAGTATTTGATTACACACTACAGAGTCATATTATTCTCTGTGTTTCATTACTTTGTTTTATATGGTGTCAATCATAAATCCTAAATATGTCTGTATGAAATGAAATAGTAACAGTCTTTATTCAATCTTCACAACAGCCCTATTATGTAGAAACTATTAGTTCCATTTTACAGAAAGTAAAGTGAGGCTTAAAGACATTAACTTTTAACTTGCACAAATCAACGCTGGTAAGTGGTAGAGCTAGAACTGTTTGCCTATAATACTGGATCTAATTATTTATTTTATTATATTATTCCAAAAGCTCCTATCATGGTGCTAGTCATAAAGAAGGTACTCAATAAATACTGCATGGCACTAGGAAGGATTTCAGGTTTCCCACACAGACGACACAAGACCCTCAACTCTACACACACACACCCTCACACACACCCCACTTAAGGCCGCTAAGCAACTCCCAACAAGCCTGGCAGCATTCCTTCAGGTCCACTGCTGTAAAGGAATGACAAGTACCAAGCCTCCAATTTGCTCATAGCCAGAAGGACTTGGCAGGCAGGTGGGGTTTCCAGTGTCCACATTAGGAGCTTACTGAAACTCAGCTTGCCCTATGTACACACCCCTGAGTTTAGGGAGCACAGGGAAAAAAGGCAGTGGCAGGAAAAAAGATCTCAGGCTCTGAATGACAGTATTATGTAGGGTAAGGCAATAAACTCTCACACTTGCTCTAGGTGTGTCAGAAACTAGAGGTGAGAGCCAAAAAGAACAAAGCCAAGAGAGGCAATAACAAGTGGCCCAAAGAATTAGTGATTGACAAAATATTTCACTTAAGTTGCAGGTCTAGCAACAAACAACAATTCTTTTCCAATATGATCTACTAAAGATATATTAGAAAATAAATTAAGAGTTCTACCCACATAACTCTAACAACCTATGAAAAATAATTTCTTAAACAATACTGAAACATGTCTATAGCTTACTCATACATGGTTCAAAAGAAAAAATTTACAAATATATATACATATGAGGTGTATGTATTTATATGCATACATGAAAAGAGAAAGAGAAAATGGTAAAGCAAAGTAATATAGCAAAATGTTAACAATAGGTAAAGCTGGCTAAAGGGTATATGGAAATTTGTTGTACCATTTCTTACAAGTTCTCTAAGTTTTAAATTATGTTTTTAAACTGAATAAAAGAGAATTTAAAATTATGTGAAAATTACTTGTACTATATGCAATATTAGTGATTCAATGCAAAATCATAACTAAAATTATAAAGCTGATAATGATATCATGGCACATGACATTGGCAATCTCAGATTTTTTAATAGAAAAAGGAAAGACAGCTATAACAAAATATAAATACGATGACAAAATAAAATGGAATAAAACTCAAATACATTTCTATGAAAAGGAGAGCTCAAAATACAGTATAATGTCAATTGCTGTATGGAGTAAGTGATGTGTACTATACAAAGAGAACTAGGACTAGACTTGGAGTTAGAAGATGTGGGTTCAATTTCCACATTTTACTAATTTGTAAAATTCCAAACTACTTGGGTGTCCTGAACATTGTTTTCAGGGTCTGTAAAATGGTGGCACAGTACCTATTTTACACAGTGGCTGAAATTTAATGCAAAAGGCATGTGAGAGTACTACCAAGTTTTCAAAACAAGTAATGAATGAGTTCACTTAAATAGTGAACTGCTATGACTAAAAGTAAAGGTAAATTTTGGTCTGGGGACTCAGGATGGCAGAAAGTTATGTTACCAGGAATAAGTCTTCTAATTGTAAAAAAAAGAACAATAGATCTCATAAAATAAGTGACATGTCAGCACAATTTAGCTACATGATTAGAGAAACATTTGAATTTTACAATTATTTTAAAAATACAATGTTTAGAGAGAATCGAGATGGTGGAGGAGTGAGTGGAAGTCACACTGACCTCTTCCCAGGACCAATCTGGAATTACAACTAAATTGTGGAGAAATCACCTGGAACAAACAACTGAACAACAGCGAGAAAGGAACCTTATAACCTCGGACAGAAGAATCAGCCTTAGCACAACTTAACTGGTAAGGAGTGCAGTAGAGACTTGACAAGGCGGGGAGGGGGGGCGGCGCCCATAGGTGGCAGGACCAGAGGGATATTGAAACGACCAATTGGATCCCCCTGAGAAGAGCGGGGTCTAAACCAAAAGCAGGGATCTCTAGCCCACAACACCAGAGCGCAAAAAGTACACAGATAACAGCCAGCTGCGAAAAGCGGCAGGGTTACTCTCTGCCAGATACAGGAAGCTGGAGACACAAAGAGCCTTTTAAAGGGCAAACACATAAATATTTATTTGCAGCCACTCCCCCTGAGCTCTGGCAAAGGCAGGAGCAGAGTGGACTGGAAACGCTGAAGGAGAGATTGGGGAAGGAGGCTTTGGGGAGAGAACGGATAGCTGGCGGAATCCCAGTGCTGACTCCTCCCCTATATGGCAGCAGCCATCTGGCTTGGGCAGACCACTCCTCTGACTGGCAGCAGCGTGGGAGGACCCAATAACCCCACCCCAGGAGGGACTCTGCTCCGCCCTGTGGTGTCTAAGCCCAACTGCTGAGTGCAGAGTGACTAGATTAACAACTGAGAGAGACAGCCACAGACAGTAGATTCCTGGAAGTCTTGAATAAACTGCTTAAGGTCAGACAGGGTCAACAGTTGACATCATCAGAGGCAGATCCACAAAGGAAAAACAGCAGTCTCATATCATAAAAGGTCATACCACAAACTCAGGAAATCAAGACAAATCAACTTAAGAATCAGAAGTAAAAAAGAAGAGTCTCACAAATAATGGGAAGACAAAGAAATATGCCCACTTGAAGGGAAAGGAGGAATCCCCACAAAGAGAACTAAATGAAATAGAGGCAAGTAAACTATCAGATAGTGAGTTCAAAACAACAGTTCTAAGGAAGATCAATGAGCTCAGTGAGCTCAGAGAGAATTATCAAAAACTACAGGGAAACTATGAAGAACTTACTACAAACTATATCAGCATGAAGAAGGACATAGAAACTATCAATAAGAGACAAGAGAAAATGAAGAATACAATTTCTGAATTGAAGAACACAGTAGAAGGAATCAAAAGCAGGCTAGATGAAGCAGAGGACCGAATCAGCGAGATGGAGGACAAGGTAGAAAAAAGCTCCCAGAAAGAGCAAGAAAATGGAAAAAGACTCAAAAAGAATGAAGAGGCATTGAGGGAAATGCAAGACAACCTGAAACATAATAATATCCATATAATAGGGATACCATGAGGAGAAGAGGATGAGGAAGGGACAGAGAACCTTTTGGAAAAAGTCATGATGGAAAACCTCCCTCTTTTGAGGAGAGAAAGAGTCATACAAGTTCAGGAAGCACAGAGGGTTCCATTCAAGAGGAACACAATGAGGCTCACTCCAAGACACATCATCATTAAAATGGCAAATAGCAAAGAAAAATAGAGAATCCTAAAGGTAGCAAGGGAGAAACAGGTAGTAACAGACAAGGGAGCCCCAGTATGGCTAGCAGCTGAATTCTCTACAGAAACACTGCAAGCCAGAAGGGAATGGCAAGAAATATTCCAAGTCATGAAAAGCATAGGCCTGCAACCAAGACTGCTCTACCCAGGAAGGCTCTCAATTAAAATGGAAGGCAAAATAAGGAGTTTCCCAGACAAAAGAAGGCTAAAAGAATACACATCCACCAAACCAGCACTGCAAGGTATCCTAAAGGGACTGCTTTAAGAAGATGAAGAAAAAGAGTCTATGAATACCCAATTCCTTTCACAGTCACCAATACTTGATATTACCAATATTTTTAATACTTAGTAATCTGATTGTGACAATGATGTGTTGTTACTTTATTATTTGCTGAAACTAAACCTGTTTTCTAGCTGTCTTGCCCATCTCTATTATTTTTAAAAAGCTTTAAATGACTTTCTGGTATTCTTTATGC